TCTGTTGATTTATCTGTTTATGCTTTGGTTTTAATTGAATTTTCTTCCTCTCAAAATATTTAGTGGTTTTATCCTTTTTAAGGGTAGAAAATTTTATCCTTCTATTACACTGTCACTCACTTTCATATGCCTCCCCTTGTGTTGTAAGTTGCATATGCTCAATAAACTAGGCTAGAATGTAAGGCTGCCTTAGCCTTTTCCCAAATTGAGGAATTTCCTTTTCCTTTGCTTTGGTCTCTGCCTCCAAGGAGCTTCTGCAGGAATAGGGTTAGGTCCAGATAAATTTCAGTCACTTTTTTTTCAGGCCTGCCTGAGCCATGAATGGTGGCCCCTTGAGCTAATTCTAAGCATTCCTTCTCTGGCTGACCTGAATCAGAATCTGTTAAACTTTTATATGATTTGGGTAAGGAAGTATAAATATAATAGGTGGAGTCACTTCAGCCCTGAGGTTTGCAAATCTAAGGTCCATTCCAGGCAAAAGTCAGTACAATCTCTCCCCTACTCTCCCTTCCATCTTCATGTTGAAATGTCTTCTACTTGTTGCAGATTCTCTGCACTAAGTGGGGAATATATCTTTATGTTGCAAAACATAAGGCTTTTGCTCATTTTCTGCATCATTTCAGAATACAGAAGCTCTTAGAAGAGCAGTCATGAGTGAATACCCAAAGGATTAGAGTTGTCCAGTGTGAGTTAAGGCTGTTACTTTGTTGGACTTCTTACGTTCTCTTTTGTTTTGTTTTGTTTGTGTGTTTTTGTGAAAGAGAGTAGGGACTGGATAAAGTTCATGATTCCATGATCTTTTTTGGTTATGTGACTCAGAAATAGTTTGCTCAGTTACACAATGCAAATATCCAACTCCCCCAAATATTTTTTTCAAATAAATTTTGAAATGTTGTATCATTTTAAGGATTGTGAGACCAGAAAGATGGAAGACTAGACATTTTTTCCCAATCTTAATGACCTCTTACACTGCTCCAAAATAGGAATTATGTGACCAGAAAAGAATCAATTTCTATTTTTTCTGTGGTCTATGACACCAAGAACCCAAATACAGCAAAATTTTGATGAAGCAACAGCAGAGAAGGCTAATTTCTAGATCCTAAACTGGGCTTATTTAGCACCCATTCCCCTGCTACCCACAACACTACCAGGAGCAGGATTACATAAGTCATCCCATGCTGGTTGTCATAGAACTCAACTCCACATCCTTTACCTTCCTCCTAGTGTTAAAAAGATACTTCTGGCAGAAATTTGTTTGGCCTGTGATGTCAAGATATTTGAACACATTCTGTTTTCCAGAGCTAAGGCCAAGCAAGCAGGCTGTGCCCTGAGCTTGACATAACAACAGTCCTTTGCACTCACCCTCTGAATGATCTCACCATCTGGCAAAATGTATTGCTTTGACCAGCACCAGGTGTTCTCTGAGAGATTTATGATTTTCACATTAATCAATAATTTCCCAGGGACCTGAGAGCCAGAAGCAACTGACATGTTGCAGCAGAAAGTGACAAATCAAACCTCCTGATATTCTAGCTATTCCTATGCTTGTGTAACCTCTAAGTGAACCGAACCAGATGTTGCACTCCTGTTCTCACCATGCTAACTCTGATTCTGTATGCTGCTCAACAATCACCAAGCTAAGTGAACCTTATGTAATGGTTCTAATGACTTAGAGATTGTTCCCACAGGACTCGAGAACACCTGTATTGTCCCCAAAATGCCTGCGTATATGGGCCTGCCATAGGAACTGTTTACTCAAGATCTAAGGATGACTGTGTTGGGTTCTGTCTTTTTGTGGTTTTCAGGCCTATAAGCCCTACCCCTGCCCCACCATGTCAAGCCCTTCTCAGATGCACTTTTGTTTGCAAACCTGCTTTCCTCACTTTGAAATTAATTAAGCCACTTTTTCATTCCTGACTCACTGGCTTCTGGCCTGCTTTGTTTGGTTCTGGCCATTCACAGGTTAGAGAAAGGTCCAGCAAGGACATTTAAAATTCTTTTGTCAGTGATAGCACTGTGGCAGTGATATGTCCAATAATAGCTTGGCCAGAGAATGGAGAGAGGAAATGTGTATAGAACATGTACAAGTATGTGTGTGTGTGAGAGAGAGAGAGAGAGGCAGAGAGAGAGAGAGAAAGAGAGAAAGAGAGAGAGATGGAGAAAGAGAGATTGTGTGGCACTCCACTAATTCGGAGGAAAAAATTCCAAGATCCAGCTGGAGTTAGTTATGTCCCCTCAGAAGTCACTTGGGACAGAGACTGAGGCTAGTGAACTATGAATTTCCTCTGCTCCACATGAGAGAAGACTGAGCTGCTTTGACATCCAGCCTCAAGGAAAATGTGAGCTTTTTAAACACCAAATCCCTGCAGATCATACCCCTTGTAAGGTCCCCAATTATAGAGGTACCCTTTATAGAATTTCTCCCTTCTTTCATAGGAAAGACCTGTCCTCAGGAGAAGGAATATCTGAGTTCCTGGAGGCAACTGACAACAAAAAGCGTGGAAGAGCATGGACCAGAGAGGAGATTTCAAGGCAAATGGAGGGGCAGGAAATGACCAAGAATATGTAGAAAGTAAATAATGGTTCTGTCCCCTGCACAATCAGGGACTTAGGAAAATTTCCACTATGAAGCAATATCCTTTATATCACCTGCAGGAAGTGCTTTTTCAAAAACAAAAAAGGAGGGTAGCATGGGGCAAGGCAATATTACAAGGCAATAGAATAAGAAGCTTTTGGAATAAGAAATCCAAAATTAGATACCAAAATGTACCTTAGAAGTTTTAATTCCATAAAGAATACAGAGACTAAAGAAAGACTGAGTATGAGGAAACATACCAAAATTTCTGGGATGCAGTTAAAACAATCCCAGGGAAAAAATCATATCCCTACAAATATATGTAAACAAAATATCAACCACATGAAAGAATGCTACAACTCACTGATAATAAGAGAAAAGCAAATCAAAAGAGCCCTGAGGTTTTACCTCACAAGCAGGGAACAGGCAAAGTTCTCAATAAGATTGGGATGAAGAAAGGATGCCCATTATCACTACTATTATTCAATATTGTACTAGAAATGTCAGCTATAACAATAAGAGAAGAAAAAGAAATGGAAAGAATTAGAATAGGAAGGAATTAGAATAAGGAAACAAAACATTGCTCTTTACAGATGACATGATGGTATACTTAGAGAATCCTAGACAATCAACTAAAAAAAAACTACTTTAATATAGCAATGTAAATGGGAAGAACAACTACCAAAAAAAAGTCAAAAGTAAATTATGCAAAACTCATAAAGAACAAGCTTAGCTTGAAAGAAAAGATTTTAGGAGACACTCCCAACTCACTCTTTTGCAGAGGTGGGTGATCCAAAAACATGGCACTTTGCACATTTTCAGACTTTTGTTTTGATGAATTGATTAGTTAGGTTGATTTTTTTCTTCTTTTCTTTTTCTTTTTTTTTTGAGGGGGGAGCTTAAAATACTATTTGTTATGTGGCATGGCTCTCTAGGAGAAGGAGGAGGAGAGTTGCTGGAAAAACTATGGTGTAAAAAAAAGACATCAATAAAAACTTATTTTAAGAGAGAAAGTATCAAAACATACCATACACACACAAATGCATAAGCCTGTGAGCTTGAATAAGCTAAAATTCTACTTAATAATTCTCCCTTGCTTATCTTATGGAACCTCCATTTACCACCTAAGGGAACAGCAGTGCGTTCATCTATGATCTTAAAACTTCACTTTATCTTGCTGATTATAAAAGGTCACTACTACAATTCCAAGTCTTCCAGTCTTTTGTTTTTCATATGACACATGTATCAATTTTCTTTCTACAATTAATATCTCATGCATACCTTACAAAACATCCTAAGAAACCATTGATCTGTTACCCAATCTATAATTTTCTGTTATATAGAGAATATATAGTTAGGAAAACTAACACAGATCATTGGAATTCCAAAGCAAAGGACTAATATTTGGGCAGTTATTTATATGTTGTTTTTGAGTCATTTCAGTTGTGTCCAACTGTTTGTGACCCCATTCTGAGGTTTTCTTGGCAAAGATACTGAAGTGGTTTGCCATTTCCTTCTACAGCTCATTTTACAGATGAGAAACTGAGACAAACAGGGTTAAGTGACTTTCCCAGGGTCACACGACTAGTTAAGTGTCTGAGGCTGGATTTGAATTCAGAAAAACAAGTATCTTCCTGGTTCTAAGGCAAGTGCCGTTATTTAAGATAATATCTAACTTCAACCACAAAATTTACTTAAGTTACTTTAAACTAGTAAAAATTTTGGAAAGGAATGAAAATTAATGTGAAATGTATTAAAATTTTGAACTAGTGAAAAAGAACTTTAGTTTGAAGAAATATTTAAATATTTTGCTTTACAAAGTTTAAAAAAAAACATGATTAATTGAATTTGTGAGAAATTCAACCTAAATCTTAACATCAGTATTAATATAGGGGCTGATTTGCATGAAATGGGTAATTTTTAAATGTCGATTTTTTTAAAAATTACTACCTTACCATTGACCTAAGTATCTAAGAGAAGTATGTATTAGCTTAGTGAAATCTTTATATTAGCTTAGTGAAAATCAAAATTTAATGGCTGATTTTGATTTCACCCATAATTTCATTGTTTACATCAATAAAGATCAAGGATTAAACATCTAACAATGCTAGTAATCAATCAACCAATGTAAATTGCAAACCTTCTAAGCATTTATTAGTCTTATTGAGTTGATTTTCATAACAACATAAATGAATTGATTTTAGATTTCAACTACAAAATTGTATTTTGTTCAAATTTAGTGTGATGCAAAATATTAATGGGGCAATATATTTTTAAATAATTTAGATAATAGAAATATATGATAATTAAAATTTTTAGTTTTTAATCTATCAGTATCACTTCAAATCTTTCCAATGACTGTTTTATGAACAATTATTTTATATAAGTTACTGAGAAAATGTAAATTATCCAGGTGTATCCTTACCTTACACTCATAGAGAACACAAACTCCAGAAGAGGAATATATTGTTTTTTTCTCTCCTTCAAAATAGGTTCTTCCTTGAAAATGGCATATGGCTTTGGGATTAAAAACAAAAACAAGAAATTCAATGAACAAATATAGCTTAAAAGTTGTCAAAGGAAATTTACAATGATGCTTCACATTTATTTACCACTTTTCAAGGATTTGTACTGACTATATTCCATGCCACCTGCTTCTCAAAATAAGGTACTTAGACACAAGAATTTAGGATACTGAACTTGTAGTCACTTGTATTCAAATCCTTACTCTGTCACTTATTACTATGTAACCTTGGGCAAGTCACTTTACTTCTGTGAGTCTGTTTCCTTAACTGTAAAATGAGGATCTTTTTGAAGGATTTCCAAGATCTCTACCATCTTTAGTTCTATAGATATTGATATCTCTCCTTCTCCCATCCCCCAGTTGCCAAATCTTGTCAATTATTCATCCACAATATGTTTGCCATGTGGCTCTTTATTTCTATCCCCAGTTACACTGTCCTAGTCCAAGCTTATTGTTTCTCATATGAACAATAATGTGAACTGCACAAAAGGATTGAGTCATATTTAAACTTTGCATCTCCCCTAGCATGTTGCACAGTGCTCTGTGTGTAAGGGTACTTATTAACAAGTATTATTAAGTTTAACTTGACTATTGTAATTGACTCTTTTTTTTGGCATTCTATATCAATTTTATTTTTATTATTATTATTTGGTATAGATGGCTGAGCCCTATTCTTAACCGATTTTTAAAAATTAATTTTTTTTTAAATTTTCAACATTTACTTCCATAAGATTTTGAGTTTTAAATTTTCTCCTCCTCCCTATTCTTCCCCCCCATCAGATGGTTTACAATCTGATATAGATTCTACATATACATTCATGTTAAGCATGTTTTCCCATTAGTCATGATGTAAAGAACAATTAGAACTAATGGGAGGAACCATAAGAATGAAGCAATAAAACAAAACACGGAAAGGGAGGAAAAGGAGAGCAAATAGTACACTTCCATCTGCATTCAGACTCCATATTTCTTTCTCTGGGTGTGGAGCAATTGACTCAAACAATTTTATCTGACTGTTCTTCCAGATATATCTTTTTTTAAATGTAGTACAGGCTCAGGGCTCGTTCTCCCAACTCCCACTAACACTGGCAGGCTGGAACACTAAAAGGTGACTAACCACTTTCTTCCTTCAGATTTTAAAGTAACTCTGAGGAACAGGAAGGTTTTCTAGTATTACTACTCATGATACCCCAACAATGTGCTCTCAGATGACATAAATTAACCAACTAGTCCTAATTAGCTCTTAAAAATTAATATTTACAAAGTAATATAATAAAATCAGTTGGAAGAACCACCACCCCTTTCCAAACCAGAGGCATAATGGTGCTCAAGCTTAGAGAGCTCAATGTGGCAATGAGGTAAATTCTTATCTCTTGATTGATGAAAGTCCTTTGTGGAGAACTCATGAAGTTCACTTTATATATTGTTTTCTTTTGGGCTCCTTGTAAAGTTCTGAAGCTGCCCTTCTTCAGCAGGTCTAGTTTATCTTCAGGCACTGATGGGAAGTCCAAATCTTCTGAACTTCTAAAATTCACAAGATCATCTTCTAATCAAGGTGGAGGAGAGGAGACAGAGATTCTGTCATTCACCTTCCCCTTAATAATTCCCTTTCAGGGGCTTTCCTGATGGTATTCTGCCACTCAGCTTAGCCTGCTATTAGAATAGAGAATTCTGAATTTTCATCCAAGCCATTTCTTTCAATGTCATTTCAATCCTTTTCAAACTGATTAATGACATTTTCACTCTTAGTTTATACATTCAATAAATCAATAGTCAATACTTGATAAACACTTATTAAGTGCCTTCTTAATATCCAGGCATTGTGCTAAGCACTAGAGATATAAATTCAAAACAGAAAGCCAGTCTTTGCTCTCAAGGATCTTACAACACACAGAAGAAAGCTGAAAAATGGGGTGTGGGGGATGGAGGGGTGGAGATACTGGCATGGAGCATGGTGGAGAAGTAAAAAAATCCAAAATGAGTGCAGCCAGGGTGAGAAAAATGAAATAACTGATCAATAGTTCATTCTAGGACTCAATTGTTTATTAGAGGTAACTTTGTAACTCAAAGAGGTGTCCTCACCTGATAAAGCCATCCAGCTTAGAAAATCTTGTTAGTTAAATTAATTGAGTAAGGGATAATTGATTGCTTCATTCAATCATTGATAAGATGACCTTCTGTGTTGAAATACAGGTCGACCCCAACTCTCTTCCCTCTCCCATGTCTTCAGTGTTTGGCTGTCAAAATCCTAACTCTCCTATAATTTCTAACTTAAATACCAACTCCTCCTCAAGCCTCCCTCCTCCATTCCCATCTCCCTGGTAACAAAATATGCTTGTTCCTGTCCTTGAGTTTTGTACAGCTATTTGTAATTCTGTATCAGCTGCCTCAAGACATTCCCTTTTTCTCAAGGAACTTGATAGTGGCTCAGTCTTCCTCTCAATGTCAACTCCTGCCCTTATACTAGGGAACTTTAAAATTCAAACACCTTGACTCCTCAGTTCTTCAGTTTCTTAATTTGTTGTGACCCATTGTTATCCACTTCAGCTGTGCAGGGGGCTGGCATACCCTTCTTATCATGATCTACACGTAATTTTGTTTAACCAGTTGGGCTCAGATCAACAAGACAATCCTTTTATTCCTCTTTAATTGATTCTATACCCTACACCCCAGAGATGCTGGTCAAAATATTCTCTTCTCAAACACCCCCATACCAACCCTATCTCTTTCTCAATAAACCAAGGACCTTATTTCTTACTTTATTGAAAAAATAGAGACCATTTGTTGTAAACTCCCTCTTTACTCCTTTTCCACTATTCAAAACCTCTTGGTAATTCTCCCACTTTTTCCTCCTTTACTTTACTCTCCAATAGAGTGGTAGGACTTTCCCTTGCATAAAACTGCTAGATTATTTATTAGTTATTGATAGGTTAATAATTAAGAGGGGTAGTTTAGTTTTAGTCACTGGAATCAGTATTTATGAATTATGTTGATTTAAAAGACAATTTTGGTTTAACATTAGAGTCTATAAGATAGTTTGTCTTCTTTCTAAGAGTTAACTTCTCTATTTTTTCTGGGCTACAGCTTGGGCTCTTTCCACAAATGGAAAGAGGGGAAGGATAAATCCCTGGAGTCATAGGATGTTCTGCCTGGTCAGTCATAAGTCACGATTGCTTAACACTGGATTTTCCAGTGAATGTTGAGTAACTGTTCTCATGAGTCTTAGAAATCCTCTCCTATAAATCAGACTAAATTTAAGCCCACCTACACCTTTACCAACTGTATAAAAGACTGCTATATCTGCTCTAATGCATCCCTGGCCCCTGAGGGACTATGAGATCTCATTTATTGGCAACTGCTAGTTTTGCTAATGAATGATCAAACCACCCCTTTAAACTATCATCCCATATCTCTTCTCCTTTTCACAGTCTAACTCCTAGAAAAAACAAAGTTGTCCACAATCATTGAATTCACTTCTTTCATGTCAACACTTTGCAATCTGGCTTCCAATATCATCACCCACCATAAATTCTTCATTCCAAAATTTCCAATGATTTCGTATTTAAATGCCAAATCTGACTGTGTTTTATCAACTCTCATCCTTCTCAACCTCCCTGCAACATTCTATACTGCAGACCACCCTTTCCTCTAAGATATGTTCTTCTATCTTTTGGTTCTCCTTTTACCTATCTGAACACACTATCTGAACACACCTTAGTCTCCTTTGCTGGTTGATAATGCCATGTAACTATGGATGTACACCAAGGGTCTTAGATTTTTTCTATTCTCTCTCTCTCTCCATCAATTCCCACAGATTTAATCATCATCTCTTTACAGATAATTCCCAAGTCTTTTCTATAAGATTTGTCTAACACTGAGAGAAGGATATTGAAGTTTCCTTCTTTTATCCTTACAAAAGATTGGGCATCAGGTGTTTTTATTATCTCCATTTTGTAGTTGAAGAAACTGAGGCAGATAGAGGTTAAGTGACTTACCCTGGATCACACAGCTAATAGTATTAAGCACCTATTATGTTCCAGACACTGTGCTAAGTACTTTGCAAATATTATCTCATTTGATCCTCACAACAACACCATGAGATAGATGATATTATCATCTCCATTTTACAAATGAAGAAATTGAGCCAAAATGAAAATATAGAATTAAATTACTAGATAAATTAGAGTAAAAGACTGATGGTGTCTTCTAAATGGAACTGCTAAAGACTATATATATTTCCATACCACATGGAATTTTTGCAAAAATTGACCATGTAGGAGGACACATAGATATTGCAAATATATGTAAAAAAAAAAAAGCAGAAATAGTGAACTCTTTACAAACATAATAAAAATTGTAATCAATTCAAGGAACACAAATAAGACCCAGACCCAGATGGAAACTTAATAAAATCCTACATACTGAGTGAATCAAAGAGCAAACCATAGAAATAAATAGTAATTATGTAAAAGTGGCTGAAATGAATACATACAGGTATATAGACAATATATAAAGATATGTAAATACGTTTATTTATATAAGTATGCAGATATAGTTCATATGAATATAATTTTATTTGACTATAAAAATTTATTTACATAAATATTTAGATAGAAATATATTGTATAAATATATATTTATACAATATATTTAAACATAAACTTATTTATATAAATATACAATGATGTATAGACATATAACAGACTCATGTACATATATATAATATATAAATTATGTTAATGTGTACACTAATATAGAGATGGAGAGTTAACCAAAAATTATTCCCAAATAGATTAGTCAAAGGATATGAATAAACAGTTGTAAAATATATAATTAAAATTATTAACCATAGGGAAAAATGCTCAAAATTGTTGATGAGAAATGTAAATCCTAAGATTTTACCTCGCACCCAGAAAGTCGGCAAAGTAACGAAAAGATAAGAATATTCAATGTTGGAAGGGTTATGGGAAAATATATGCCCTCGCACAAGACT